CATGCACTAGATTATCCAAACTTGAGATTGAGTGTAATTGGTTGTCGGCTACAGTTAGGGGAGAAAGAGTTACACTCGTTGATTAACGTTCACCTGACTGCTAACGTTCATCAACGATTGTCAGTGTCCCCTGGCATAAATAGGCTAAACAACGCGTTCACGGCTCATTGGTTAGGATGTTTGACTCTGATTAAAAAAGGTCGCGAGTTCAAGGCTCGAATGGGGCATCACTTGGGTCTGGGTATGCCTGGCTGACGACGGCTGATAAGTCAGAAATGGCCATTCCAGTCTCCCTTTTCTTTGCCGGCAATAATATCTGCCTAGAAATAGTTACCTTGTTCTGATATAAATTACCGATCAAAACAAGCACGACTGGAATGACGCAGTTATGGCTTATTAGCCATGTTCACCCACTCATATCTAACCCTATGTAGGTGTTTCGGTACCCCAAGCTCCAGCCTGCGAGCTTTTTGGCTAGAGGTCCAGGGCTCGTACCCCTGACGGTTGCGATCGGAGATAGTACCAATGATTAATAGGCGCTCACCACGTCTTTTTGGATCCTGGGTTTCGTTCTAGAGCGCCGCTAGCAGCCACTCAACGCGGCGAGTGAGTTCCGTAACCTAACAGTGAGCACCCATCTACCATAGTAACCTTAGTCTCCCTTTTCTATGTGCGGACACCTATGAATGTCCGTCGTTTTTGTCACGCGCGCTAGACCGAGAAACTTTGTTGCATGCTGTGTTTTCCTATTCTTTGTTTTTTAGATCAACGAGCGTATTAAGAGTAAGCGAGTAAAATGCCGCCACGACAGTTGCAACTGGCTCGGTTTTCTGCGTGAGTACGCCACCCATACGCATCGTTACTACGAACCCAAGGAACTCAAGCTCTTCTCAAACAGCCTGATGGAGCGGCTACAGAGTAAATCACCCTCACCGACGCCTACAGGTCTGATTAAGGCAACGCCGCTCAGTGTTAGTCCGGAGGCCTTTGACCAGCTTCCCTCGTCCTCACGCCTACCCATCCCTCTTGCGCTTTCCTTGGTGCAGGCCAGTGCGTCTGAGGTCAACCAGCGAGTACATAATCGCGCTCGGGTCACGCGTAATCCGCCGCCGGCTCCTCAG